TAAAAGGAAGAGTCCTCACACTGAACATTGATGGACGCCGGATGACCAACAACCCCGGAGGGAAGGCCGAGCCGTCTGGTGCGTCACACTCATCACTGGAAGTCGTCATTGGCCTTGTTATCAGTTTATTTGTTTTTTAATAAAATCTAAAAAGTTGACGTGTTGTGTCCAGTGCTGATCGATGTGCATGCCGACAATCAGGGTGTGTGGACATGCGTCAGGGTGTGTGGACATGCGTCAGGGTGTGTGGACATGCGTCAGGGTGTCGACATGCGTCAGGGTGTGTGGACATGCGTCTAAGTTGACGTGTTGTGTCCAGTGCTGATCGATGTGCATGCCGACAATCAGGGTGTGTGGACATGCGTCAGGGTGTGTGGACATGCGTCAGGGTGTGTGGACATGCGTCAGGGTGTCGACATGCGTCAGGGTGTGTGGACATGCGTCAGGGTGTGTGAATATGCGTCAGGGTGTGTGGACATGCGTCAGGGTGTGTGGACATGCGTCAGGGTGTGTGAATATGTGTCAGGGTGTGTGGACATGTGTTAGGGCATATGGACATTTGTTAAACTGTGCAGAAGCTTCTGCTAATAAGGACCGGTCACTGCTGATCGCTCTCTCCTTGTGCAGGGTGACCGGTCTTGTCTCCGCCCCCTCCTGTAATAGAGACCGATCACTGCTGCTCTCTCTACTTGTGCGGGATGACTGGTCTTGTCTCCGCCCCCTCTTGTAACAAAGACCGATCACTGCTGCTCTCTCTACTTGTGCAGGTGGACTGGTCTTGTCTCCGCCCCCTCCTGTAATAAAGACCGGTCACTGCTGCTCTCTCTCCTTGTGCAGGGTGACTGGTCTTGTCTCCGCCCCCTCCTCTAATAGAGACCGATCACTGCTGCTCTCTCTACTTGTGCGGGATGACTGGTCTTGTCTCCGCCCCCTCTTGTAACAAAGACCGATCACTGCTGCTCTCTCTCCTTGTGCAGGGTGACTGGTCTTGTCTCCGCCCCCTCCTCTAATAGAGACCGATCACTGCTGCTCTCTCTACTTGTGCGGGATGACTGGTCTTGTCTCCGCCCCCTCTTGTAACAAAGACCGATCACTGCTGCTCTCTCTCCTTGTGCAGGGTGACTGGTCTTGTCTCCGCCCCCTCCTCTAATAGAGACCGATCACTGCTGCTCTCTCTACTTGTGCGGGATGACTGGTCTTGTCTCCGCCCCCTCTTGTAACAAAGACCGATCACTGCTGCTCTCTCTACTTGTGCAGGTGGACTGGTCTTGTCTCCGCCCCCTCCTGTAATAAAGACCGGTCACTGCTGCTCTCTCTCCTTGTGCAGGGTGACTGGTCTTGTCTCCGCCCCCTCCTCTAATAGAGACCGATCACTGCTGCTCTCTCTACTTGTGCGGGATGACTGGTCTAGCCTCCGCCCCTCTTGTAACAAAGACCGATCACTGCTTCTCTCTCTACTTGTGCAGGGTGACTGGTCCTGTCTCCGCCCCCTCCTACAATTTTCTGTAGTTGGTGCGGCCTGCTGGGAGGGGATTTCAGGGAATGGCGGCTCTTCCTCTTTGGAGGACCAAAAGCACTTGTGCACCTTTTTTTTTCTTCTTTGATTTGACTTTTTTTTTTGTTCACAGAGGAAGTTTGTCTATGATGCAGTCACTGCGGACTTTAAAAAATAGTTATTATCTACAATAATACCTGACAGGGGTTCTAATCTTTCCACACGCCATACAAACCATGGGGGCAATTTATCAAAACTGGAGCAGACAATGTGGAGCAGTTGCCCTTAGTAACCAATCAGCTTCTCTGTTTAGTAAGGATTTGAAAATTAAAGATGCTGATTGGTTGCCCAGTGCTCTCTCAGGTCAGGGTGAATCATCGCCCAGCCGGACAAGACACGGAGGAATCCCTCGGCCCTCCATGGATGTAGGTGCAGTACAGGGGCTACAGACAGCGACCTCCAGAATGTGAGGCTGATATTCAGTTTGCTCTGTGCACTGTGTGTCATAAACAGTTGCTTTTAAAAAAAAATGTAATCCTTATTTTCACCATTTTTCCTCCTTTGCTACATCTCAGTGCTGCTTATCTCCTGCAGCCTCTTTCTGTCTATATGCCCTCCAGTGATGGCTGCATGGCATTTCTCAGGGTGGGTTTCCTAACGGTGACAACAGTGGACCATGTCAGTGTAATGTTTGTTAAAACAGCCACTTGTAGTCTCCATTGGAAGCCTGTGTGACACCGTGACAACGCAGGAGGACAATTGGGAGATAGGGACAGAGCGTTGTCACCCTATAACAGGAAGTGCCTGAACAGGGATCACCAGCGGCAGATTGGAAAATACTGAAAATGACTTATGAAATCAACACGTTAAGCCTCATATGACATTTAGTGTTAGGGTTTACCATATGATACTTTATTGTTCTATTGGGCCCAATTTATCTATAGCTGTACTCATGCCTAACAGTAAGAGTCAGACTAGAGAATTAAATGATCAGGTTGCCATGTACAGCGGTCACTTTCATCCCTTTATCCTGCAGAAGTCTTAGAAAACGAACTGTCTTCATGGATTGTCTCCAGACATGCACAGTGTTAAAAAGCCGACGGCCATTTTGTTGGAGACCAACGTCATCGCGGGAGACTATACTGACACCTGTGAAGGAGACAAGGAAAACAAATAGCTCCTCTATTTTCAGAAATATTGATTGGCGCATGCGCAGTGTGACCTCGCCTGCCGGTGATGTGTCGAAAGTGCGAACTTATCGAGTTGTGGGACCGCATTACTTCCGGTTTCCTCAATACTACGAGGTTTTTACACAAAACATGTTGTGCACGAGCGCCATCCACGGCATTGCCCTATAGACATAGACCACAGCAATAAAGTAATAAAATGATGTAGGATGACAGTAAGCCAGCACGTTCTTTATCTCCGGTGCCCCACTCAATATGGCCGCCGCTTGAGTGGGGCACCTGAGATAAAGAACGCGCTGGCTTACTGTCATCCTACATCATTTTATTACTTTATTGCTGTGGTCTATGTCTATAGGGCAATGCCGTGGATGGCGCTCGTGCACAACATGTTTTGTGTAAAAACCTCGTAGTTCTGAGGAAACCGGAAGTAATGCGGTCCCACAACTCGATAAGTTCGTAGTTTTGATCGATCACCGGTTGATGGCGTTTTACGTGCCCCATACGTGCTGACGTATCCAGGAGGCGTAAGTTTGTTTAAAAAGTGGCGGCGATTGAACCGGGCTGGCGGTGCAGGGTGGACGTAGCTAGTGTTGTTGCGGATTAAACCTGGCAGCTGTCGCGGAACTCCTTGTCATCTTCTTCGCGTATACAGGGGCAGGTAACGGCTGTGCGGGCGGATCTCCTCTCTCGTAGTGTGACGCGGTTGTCCGGCTGAAGATGGAGCAGCTAATAGCGAGCAGGATGGTGTCCGGGCTGGTCATTAAAATCATGCGAAGCAATGGTGAGTCGTGTACCTGTGCAGACTCTACTTCTCCTTTTCAAATTCAAATAGATTCCCCGCCCACTTAACCGACTCCTACGGGCTGTGATTGGGCAGTTGGTGACAGACCTGGCCAATGCTCAATGCTGATTGGCAGCAGAGCGCGTCAATCACTGTTTTGTGCCTGACCTGCCGTTAGAGGGCGCCATGTGCTGAAACAATGTTATTGAATATATTATACTATTAATATTATATGGGGGTGAGGGGTGATATACAATTATGGTGTATCTAGAGGTGTTATACAATTACGGCGTCTAGGGGTGCTGTAATGCAATTATGGCGTGTCTAGGGGTGCTGTAATGCAATTATGGTGCGTCTAGGGGTGCCTGTGCCTTTTTATTACACCATAGCAGTCTGTATGCCGATCCCATGTTGAGGAGAGCTTCAGGGACTTCCTTCTGCAGGATTTGGGGAGATGATGTACAATGTTCTTCCCAAAGATGGTTCCCATCCCTGAGCTCTCTGTTGGTGAAGTTGGGAAAAACTGCATTTTGACCTCAGGGGAGGCAAATCTTTCCCGGGGTTCATATGTAACCACTTCTACCCACCTCAATGTATCATCGTCATCATCACCCTCTGGAGTCGGAGCTCTGCTTTTAATTGGTTGATAGGTGGAACTGTCAGGAGAAATGCCGGATGCAAACTGTTCCATGCATGGAGTGGTTCATGTTGGGGGAAGGGTTGAGGTAGTTCCCTCATTGAAGATGAGCCAGCCCCTGAGGAGTCAGTGTACCTCCATCTGTCCCCCCCCCCCCCCCTTGGTTG